AGGATTCTATTGGTATGACTAAATTAAGATCAAGACTCCTATACCATTTGTAACGACCCAAGCACACCGCTAACCGATATTGTCTTCTTTCGACGCTCTGATACCATGGTAGATGAACACGACTCGCCACAATGGTAGACCTCACACCAATGGAGATAGAATTCTTAGATTATAAACTCATTATCATTCCCTAAATTAGTTGAAGTAGGATTGTTTTTTCATCCAACCCAACAAAACTTACGCAAAGGTTAAAATTGATTTAACAATAACTATTAAATTTTAAAAAAATATATAATAAGTTTATTTTAATTTATTAAAAATGGCAATGGTAATCAAAGAAAAGTGGGAATCTGCAATATAAAGGGAAGCACGCCAGAATCTTCTTAACTTTCCCATCCTTCTCTGTTTTCTTTTCCCCCAAATCCAGTTTCAACCATTTTTTCTAAAATGAATTAATTATTATTTCATAAATTTAAAAAATATTTATTAATAAATAATCAGAAAATCGATCGGAAATAAAGCTTTTTTTTCCTTTCCATTTCTCTTGTCCCGATAACCGCCACCAAATAATATCCCCATGTTTCCGTTTTTCCGTTATTACCTCTGCTTCTTCTACCTTCTTTACTCTGTTTTTCCCGCCAGAACTTTCGCCGATTTCACGGCGGCGACGGCGTCTCTTGACGGCGATAACAACTACGCATGGAGAAACTTCGCTCGGTTCCTCGACGCTGGCAAGGGCCGCGAAGTGAACGGCATGTCGGAGTTGAAGAAGTATTTGAATCGATTCGGTTACCTTCCTATTCCTCCTGAAAACAACTTCTCCGATTCCTTCGACGATCAATTCGTATCGGCGTTGATTCTGTATCAAAAGCGATTAGGTTTATCAGTCACTGGAAAGCTCGATTCCGAAACAATCGCGAGCATCATGTCGCCGAGATGCGGAATGAGTGACCTAATTAAAATCAACCACAGCGTATCAACAACGATTCGCTCAACGAGACGATACGCTTTCTTCAACGGCCAGCCGAGATGGATTCGATCATCGACTCTAACCTACGCTCTCTCACCGGATTACACGATCGAATACCTAACTTCATCGGAGATTCGAAAAGTAGTCCGGCGATCGTTCTCGCGGTGGTCCGCGGTGATTCCGTTAAACTTCACAGAGTCTTCCGACTACGAATCTTCGGATATACGAATCGGATTCTTCCGCGGCGATCACGGAGACGGAGAGTCGTTCGACGGAGTATTAGGCATTTTGGCGCACGCGTTTTCGCCGGAAAACGGTAGGCTACACTTGGACGCGGCGGAGCGGTGGGCGGTGGATTTTGAAAAGGAGAAATCGAAAGTGGCGGTGGATTTGGAATCGGTAGTGACGCATGAGATAGGGCACGTTCTTGGACTGGCACACTCTGCGGTGAAAGAAGCTGTGATGTATCCGAGTTTGAGCCCGAGAGGGAAGAAGGTGGACCTAAGGATCGATGACGTTGAAGGAGTTCAGGCTCTGTACGGCTCAAACCCTAATTTCAAATTGAAATCCTTTTTGGAATCTGAAAAGTCTATCAACAACAACAGTGGATCGTCTTCTTCTTCTTCAAACAACGCTAATTTCTTCTTCTTCTTATTCTTCCCCTCTATTTTTGCTTGCTTTCTGTTTTTCTTTTTATGAAATTAAATTTTTTTTTTCTTCATTTTCTTACACAATTGTATGTATTCGAAAGTAACACAAAAAATGAATGAAAAAAAATATATATATAGAAAAGGGATCATTTGTTAGATAATTGTGATGTTTTCTCCATTTTTTTAATATTTTTTTCAAAAATAATTTTTTTAACCAACAATTTCTATAAAATATATATATATATTATATCACGAATTTTTATTTTTTATGTATCTTAATCTATTATTTGTAATAAAAGAATGATTTAGAAGGGCTGATTTATGGGTTCATGGAATAAATTTTTATAAAAATTAATATATCATTTAATTTTATTGTGAAATTTATTAAATAAAAAAATGTGTGATATAGGAATATTGTTGCCTAACCTTATCTTTATTATTAATTTTTTTAATGAATTAAATATATAAGAGGAAAAATGAAAAAAATGAAAGGTCAAATACTCCTATGTTACGTAGGTTTGAATAAGAAAATAAATAAAATGGGCCAATTAAAGAAAAAGTCTTGAAAATGAGAGGAAAAATAAATAAATAAATAATTATCCAATTTGAAATGCCCCTATTCAAAATATATACTTTTCAAAGAATGAAACTAAACTAAATAATAATAATAATAATAATGAGAATAAATAAATAAATAAATAACAATTTTTTATTCTTTTTTAAGAGTAAACTTGTATTTTTTTTTTAAATAATTGAAAATTTAAGGACTCAATAAAAATAAAATAAAAGATTTAGAACAGATTAAAAAAAGAGAAAGTTGTAGAGTGGAGACTATGCTTAACCTTAACGACCAAAATCAACATTTAGGTATAACTTTATGTAAAAGTAACCCACTCCTTCAATTATATAATTTTAATTCAACTCAATCTTTAATTCCTGATGTTTTAGAATATTCAAAGCTTCATTCTTAAAGTCTCTTTTAAAAAAATATTATTTAATTCTTGTCTTTCAAAGAAAAAATATAAATGTCTTAATTGATCAATAAATTATATTCGTGTCATCGTTACATGTAACAATATAATTTATGAATGTTTTTATAATTGGTTTAATTCATGCCTGGTCATAATTAAATTATTTATTATTTTTTCTATAAAAAAACAGTAGTCAAATTCTACTCATAAAAATAAGTTTTTTAAAAACTAATTTCTTTTTAGTTTCAAATTTTAACTTGATTTTTTTTATTAAAAAAAACGCTTTTAGAAAGTAGATAATATTACAAAGGAGTTGTTCGAAAATATTGTTTATAACCTTAATTTTCATAAAAACGAATAAATAAATAATTTTTTTAATTTTCTTAAAATTAAGATTATAAACACACCTTTTCACCTTAAATTGTTTTTTTTTTATCCACATTTTACCAATATTTTAAAAAATTCACCCAGAAATCAAAATATTTATTTGAAAAAAACTTATGTAGAATTTCAATGTTTCTAGAAAAAAAATATAAATAATATAGAATGAAATATTTAGGGAATAAATATACTGGTTTCTTGAAATTTAAGCCAATTAATTATTCTTATAATTAAGAATGTCAAATAATATATTAAAGTCAAAACTGTTAAATTGAAATATAATTAAAGAAAAAATATATATTACCAAAAATATTTAGCCAATCTTGAAATATATTTTTTCTTTAATTTTTTATTCTTCCATTTAATAGTCATCTAAGATGGCGTAGCCATCGGTCTTTCTACCTTTACCAATTACTTAAAAAATATACTTTTTAAAAAGACATCAATAATGAGTCAAACACAATAAATAAATAATCCTAATAATACACGTGGAAAATAAAAAAATAGTCAAATTTTGGGAATTAAATATTCAGGTCAATAAAGTCATAATTTACTTGGAAAATTTAGTTTTGAAGTAATTCTAACACACAAAAGAGTATAATTTTGTCGGGGATATTTTAATATTTAACAAGACTTCAATTTTTTAATTCAAACAATTATTATTAAATAATTAGTTGGGGAGTTTATATCATTTATTTATTTTTAATAACCATCTCAAAAATTTTAAACTTATTATTTTTTGCTTCTATTTATAAAGTATTTTATGTTAGTTATTAAATTATTTTCCTAAATTTTATATGTTACCTCTTTATAATATTATTTACAAAACTTTATAAATTATTTATTTATAGCATCCACAAAAGAGAGAAGATATTGTTTAGCGAACGTCAAACACTTTTGTGGGGATGTGATAACATTTGAAATAATGACGACAATGAGTTAATCAAAACGACATGAGTCTAATCAATCACAAGTTTAAAGTAGCCCACAAAAAGCCAACTTGGGCCGGCCCATTATCATCTTGATCAGGTCTTTTTATTTATTTATTTATGTTAATTACTAGTTTTTCTCAAACAAATTAAATTTTTGTATAATTTTATTAAAATTAATTGTTTTAAAAAATTTATTAATATTAATAACTATACAAACTCAAAACCCTAAATTTAATGTATATTAATAAATGAAAGTTAAAATTAAAATTCATGAGAGTTAAAATTAAAATTCAAGATATATTATTATTTTATTAATAAATTATTATAATATATAAGATTTATAAATATATTATTTAATATAATTCACTCCAGCATATACAATATTTAATTTTTGAACCATTAAAAGTTTGTATAATTTTATTAAAATCATTTATTTAAGATAATTATTAAGATTTATTACCGAATAAATTAAAAAAAAAACTTAAAATTTAAGACATGTGAATGAAAAGTAAATTAATACTTAATTATTTAAAATTATTATAATAATATATAATAATTAACCCAATTAATTATCTAAAATTAAATAATGTAGTAAAATTGTTTATTTATATGAAATTTAGATAATATTTACCGTACAATATCAACAAATTAAATTAAAACTTAATTATTTAAAATTAAATAATATAGTAAAATTGTTTATTTATATGAAATTTTGATAATATTTATAATATAATATAATTTATAGATATATTTTTTTTTTTCAAATACAGTTATTTGATTTATAGATATTATTTTTTTAAATATTATTTTATCATATATTTTTTTACCATACATTATAAACAAAACTTTGAACCTAAAATTTTATATTAAAATATTAGACAAAAAAATTTAGACGGGTAACAATATGACGGTGACTTATAATGAAAATTGATACGGTTATTGTTATTACAATGTTGCATGTCATTACGGTCCAAATTTCATCCAAAATTCTAATAAATTTAGATTTATTATTATTATTATTATTATTTTGTAATTTAACTTAAATTTAAAGATTTATTAGAAGGTAAAACTAAATTTATATTTTAAAGCATTTTTGTTTTGTTTGATTTCTGGCTAGAAGCTAATCCCGCCCTGTTAAGGATCCTTCACGATCGCCCTTGGTTCCGCTTCTGAATCATCGTCGTCTTCACTTGATTCTCCGATGACTGCTTCAACTTGCAACGGCAGCAGCATCTCTTCTTCATTACATTGCTTGATTCTGTCAGATCCGCCATAAAAAACGACGACTGTAAGCGTTTCTTTAGTTACTCAATCTATCAAAATTTCCGAGTTCACTTTGATTCTTTCTCACGATTCTTCAATACCAGGTCTCTCTCTCCCTCTCTCTTTCTCTCATAGTGTATTTATTTTTGTTTGTATGTATGTTTATGCGTTTTAGATTTAGTTTCACTTTCTGGTTTGATTTTGGTTTCTTCCTTGCATATTCGAAGAAAGTAGATTAAGATTGTGGAGTTTTGAAGCTCTCGTGTAGTGTTTCATTTTCTCCAACTATTTTTCAGCGATTGAAAATTGATTCAGATATTGATTTGAAAGTTAGAATTTATATCGCTACATGAAGGAGATTGAAGGAGAAGGTGCTTGACTTTCTAATTTTGTATGATCAAAACGTGCGAATACTTTGGTAGATTATGTAGAACAGGATTATAGCAACGATAGAAGATATAACTATCAAAGGAGAGCAAAGGATTAGAAAAAATATAGCACCTGAAAATCCAAGTTATTTAGGGATGGAGAAAGATTTAGGGTTTAAATTCCCTTTCAAGCGAGGGAGAGAGAGAGGTAAGAACAGAGGCTAATAACTTTTTTTTAATTCTATTAAATTCATCGTGCGGAAATATTCTCTGTCCTTTTTCTTTTACCTTTTTCTTCCGGAGGACGACGGACGTCGCGAATCTTAGTTCGTTTAAGCGCCGCGGCGAGGAGCTGAAACAGAGGGGAGGAAATTAACAAAGACTCCAAAATCGAACCGCGTCAATTTTATCGGAGTTCTATCGTCTACTAGAAATAGAGCTCAACGAGCTCCTGGCGGCGGCGGTGGCACCAAATCGTACGGTAAGGATAGAATGCTATTGTAATTAGCACAACTGTCCTCGGAAAAATAAGGGAAAAGGAAAGAAAAGGAATCGGGGAAAAATTGGAAATAATAACGATAGGAGCAATGGAAGATGCGGTGGTAATTGGAGGATTGATGGCGGTGCAGTTCATATACGCCGGAAACTCGGTATTGCTGCGTTATTTAATGTCGTTAGGGCTCAATCCGTTTACCGTCGTCATTGTTATTGCCTCTGCAACTTTTTTCCTTCTCTGTCCTCTTCTCCGGCTCTATATCTTTTTCTCGCAGATGAATTTGATGAACGATGTGCATACCGAGGAGCATTTGGCTCAAGAAATTGAGTTTCATGTTGCTACTTCAGCATGTTCTGATCTCCTTTCGCAGGTACGCAGAATTATCTAGTTTTTGTTTCCATTCTCATTTTCGAGTCTTTAATTACATAATTTTTTTCTTTTTTTGAATATTTGTTCTTATACCATTTTGTAAGATGAAACAATTCGAACAGAATTAATCAACTCAGTTAAAAAGATCTTGTCATTAGGATAACTTTGTAGACTGTTTTAGAATCTTTTGTGCACTAAAATTCATATAGAGGAATAGTGATTGGCATAAGCTTGAGGTTCAACGGATGGGCACGAAGAAAAGAGGGACAGTTTTGGTGTCAATTTTCAGGCCATTGGAATGGAACAGTTTTCTCCGTCATTCTCTCTGTCTCCACCTTAGGGAACACTATTATTTCCATTTGAAGGTACGTTGGACAGCAACTCTTCTTCTAATCATTCTCTCACTCTGTTGATCTGCTGCTCTGTTTTCCTTTGGTTGAGTGTTCTTTTAATTTTACTTTAACAACAAAACCAATCTATGGGGATTATTTTGTAAACGACAGTTGAAAACAATAATCAGAAGGAAAGCTGATAAACAGGTTTTCTTCCGATTTTTGAGTGGTAGGAAGAGGGTTTAATCCCAGGGGATTGGGCTGAGTTCAAATAAATGAATTTTTTTAAAATTGGATTGCTTCATAAGTTTTCCTAATAAATGAAAAGTTTATAACTCGAACAACCTGGATAAGCCCAACGCAAAAAGTTTATGTTCGGGTTGGGCTCATGGTTTAATAAGGGTGTTTGGGTTGAAAATTTTACCATTTAAATAGTTGAGTTCAGGTCTAAAAAGATGTCTCGTGTCAACTCAATCCATACTCAATCCATAGACACTCCAAATTCTAACCTCCAATCTTACTGGTTTTTTCTTGATATTGTGTGGGCTCTACTTTGTGATTTGGGGAAAAAGGAAAAGAAGGTTACTGTGATGGGAGTGGCTACGAAAGTGATGAGTTTGGTGTTGAGAAACCTTTACTCTCTTGAACTTTGAAAGCGACTGTATAAGTCACTTTTGCCATTTTTTTCCATCTTGGGAAGGAAAAACTAAAGATAAAGATTGCTTGAGAGGGAAAAACAAGAAATTTTGAACTTTGATCCAGCTCCCTTTCTTTGGTTTTTGATACCTATTTGAGCTTAAGCACCATTAATAAATTGTTTGACAAGGCTTAGATTTTAGTGTTTTAGGCGTGGGGACACTACTTTGATTGCAAGCCAAGAATTTCATTAGTACCAAAGTTTGTTTCAATTGATTTCTTCTTCAAAATCAACCTTATACGGAAAAAGATAGAGCTTCAAAACAAAGACTCCTAAGGTATCGAAAAGATGGTGCCTTTATTTATTACTTTTCCATTGTTTTTGTGAATCTTTTGAAGGAGAGATTCTTTTTCTTGCTTTTTGGGAAGAATATTATTTTTCATTTGGTAATGCCTTTTCTTAGTCTTGTTGGCTTCTAACTTGCGTCTTTTCTTAGTCTTGATTTGGAGTCTAATTTCTATTTTCAAACCATTATGTTTAACCATTTGAATTTTGAGTTTTTATTTGTATTATTTTTTCGGAAATTATTACAGATTTACGGTTACCTTCCTTAGATTTTTGAATTCTAGTTCGTAGCAAAAATGAACACGAGGATTGAAGTCAAATGAAAAGCAATAAGTCCATAGCATAGGAAGTTTTAGCCCTATGACAGAGAAGAAATAGGAAAGAAAAATAGAGTGAAGTGGTTCTTTGGATCAGGTTGGTTACACCTATAACTAATATGCTTGGTTTTGTTGATTTCTCAAATATTTTGCAAATGAAAAAAATATCGTCTTCATCTCTCAATTTTGAGTCTAGTTTCTGTTTTCAAACAATTATGTTTTACTTTTAGTTTCCCTAAAATGTCTTGTACTATTGGAGATTATGTTCCCCACATATGTACCCATGAACTTTCCGTTAATTAGCCAATGTGGAACTCAAACAATCCTCAACAATCTTCACATGAGACAAAGTACACCATAGAGCCTCTCCCAAGGCCATTCTACTTTTTTGGAGCCCTTGATCAACCTTTGCTTAACTTAGGTTCAACTCCTTCTTTCTCTAGAGCCCTCGGAGAAAATACACATTTTATTCAACACCCGACTCACTAAAACACACTTTTGAGGCTCATAACATTTAAAGAAATATACAATTTTTTTTTTTCATGAATTCTTTTTAAAAGCCACTCAACAATTTTTATTTTATTATCTTTTTATGTTTGAATTGAACTAAAGTGGAAGAAAAAAAGAATGGAATTTGAGCAATCCAATTAAGTTTGAATAATGGTGGACAAAGGTGGATTCCTTGGAATTTTCCCCCCTTTTCTATACTTTTTTGTGTGATATTTGATTCACTTCCCCATCTTTTCAATGGATTGTTTCTTTTGTAGTTTTTCTTTAAAGTTTAACATCTTCTTTTCATAATGTTTGTAGTCAGTAGTCAAGTTTCCATAAAAGAAAGAAGATGTAAAGTTTAACAAGTGAGGTTAGGAGTCAAAGTATCGACCTTTGTGATAATAATTAGTGTCTTATTCATTAAGTTATAGATTAACAGAAGCGTAACAAAAAAAAAAAAAAAAACCTATAAAGTTCATAATTTATCTCAAGATGGATTCAACTAATAAATTAAACATATGATTGTTACATTAAACTTAATGTAGACATATTATTATTGTATTAAGTGAGTATTAATTTAGGTAATGACATGGTTTAATGGTAAGATAATGATGGTTTAGTGCACGTGAAATGCGTAAATTGCAGAGATGTTTATTTAACCTGCATGATTAGAGCTTTGTAGGAACTTGTCTCGAATAGGAGGAGAATCTCATTTAAATGAGTGAAGAGAGATTTTTCTCTGAAGCTAAATGAGGATGGGGACGGAGATTACATTTATCGTCTCCGTCCTCAATCTCAACCACGCCCCAATTTAAGTCTCCGCCTGACCTATCCCATCGACATCTCTAGTAAATGGGTGTTAAAAGATTGCATAGTATATTGGGCCTAGTCTGAATCGTGGGGCCTCATGTTGGTGGAAAAGCCCACCTGCTCAACTTTTATGGATCTGAGCTCTCCCCCATCACCAAACATTGTTTTTTTTATTATTATTTTAAAAATTAATTATTTATTATTGAGGTGACTTTTTAAGACCATGCAAAAAGCTCTTTGTGCTCGTCTCTATTTGATTTTTTTTTTTTTGTGAAAAAATTAACTATCTTCCTAAATTTTGGTTGTATGGATTAAAATTTTAAATTAATAATTGTATTAATTTAAAATTTAAATTGATAATTCTTATTTGAATGGGTTGTTTATTTAATTTTATAATTTATTTTAATTATATCTCTTAATTTTTTTTTTAAAAAAATTAAATTTGTTCTAAAAGATATCTCATGAAATTGTTTAAAATTTTTCTTAATATAACAGAGACAACGAATGTATAAAAAAAAAAAATGCTCATCAGTTTTTGCACTTTTAGCTCACACAATAATTTACTTGAAATTTAACATTTATTTTATAAAAAAAAATTAGGAGTTTAGTTCAACATTTATTTTGATCACAATACCCTAAAATCAATAATAATTTGGTGACATATAAATTTTCTTATCTATTTACGGAATTAGTTGAGACTTGTTCAAATTTGTGTACTCACGAAAGATGTTTACATTTGGTCACGACTTTCACTCCTTGTCTAAGATTGTTCAATGTTACCCTCGATTGGAGTCCAAGCTGTGTCTCAAATCCGACAACGATGTTTCACTCATTTCTCTTAAAAAGCACTAATCTCTCTTTACTCTCAATACTTTTCCACTCAACTTTCCTAATCATCTTCTTCGTCTTCTCGAAGTAAACACATTTCTATGGTCAAAACAAACATAAAAGAAGAAAAAGAAAGACCCATAATTAATTAACCCATTGGACCCATTCTTTCACTAAACTTCGTCTTCTTCCATTTACTAGAAAAAACAATAAACCCACAAAAGAAACTGAATTGTTTTCTTGTTTGAACGATCAAAACCCATCAAAATGAGGCCATTCAACTAATTAATAACAATCATTAACAAATTCCTCAAGCATCAGAAACTACACTGTAATCATCTTCTTCGATCGGCGCCGGTAAGTTCAGATCTATGAGACTAATTTCAAGCTTCAAAGAAACAGAGGCATTTACAGTAACAGCAGCGTTTGTAGAGCTCACAAGATGGGATCTCTTATGGCCGCCAAGGGCTTGTCCTGATCCAAATAGCTTAAAACAAAATGGGCATTTGAAGACTCTTCTATTTCCGCCATTTTTGAACTCTTCGTGTTCTTCCTGTTCTTCGTCGAGCTCTGTCTCTAATTGGCAGATTTTTTCATGGCTAAACAGAGCTCTGTAAGATCGGAACAATTTCGTGCACTTTCCACACTTTTTCTTCCTTTTAATTCCCTTCAATGATTTCGTTTCTGGTTTCATCCATCGGTCGCGTGAGAGCATCATCAGAGACATGGCGAGGTCTTCCTCCGGCGAAGTATCAGAGACAGAGCTGCTTGGTTCCAGCGGCGGTTTCCGGTACTTTTTGGATCGTTTCCGAGATGGGTTTGTGGATTCCGTTTCGCTCTCTGTGTCTTGAAGGAGAATGTTGAAAATTCTCTTGGGATCTTCTCGAAATTCGTCGTCATCAGCGGAGTAAGAGGAGAAAGAGGAGGGAACGCCGCCGTGGGTCTCTGGAGGAGTGGGCGGAGGGAGTGGTGGCGCCATGGCGGCAGTGAGATGGGCCTTCATGTGGGCGGCGTAGGCTCTGCCATTGGCGAAGGATTTGAAACAGAGCTTGCAAATGTGGGACTCCATTACCGAAATCAAATCAAAGCTTCTTTTCTTTTTTGTTTTGTTTTGGTGGAATGGAAAGTACAGAAGGGATTGGGAACTTAAAAGGAGTAGATGACAAGCATTCCTCCACCAAAAGGAACAATAAACAGCACATCCAATAAATTTTTTTTTTTTTTTTTTTCTAAATATTCTCTTTCCCAGTAAGAAAAAATTAAAAAATAAAAAGCTGGTATTTCCTATTTTCAGGGTTGTTATTATTAGGTTAAATTAATAAAAATTACATCCAAATTTCAATATCACCCCCTTAAATTTAAAAAATAAAAAATAAAAAATAAAAAATACTCAATTTTTTTTTTTTTTAAATGGATGGTCTCTTATACCAATTCACATAATATCTATCACTCAAAAGTGGGAATAGATTTGAAAATAGAAATAACATAGAGTTTAAATGAGAATAGAATTAGGATCGAAAGTTCAATTTTATTCATATTCACAGCGTTTAAATAGAATACAAGATATCAACTAATATTTATAAATAAGGAAAATATAAACTAACTAAAATCAAATGAGATAGGGAAAAATATTAACTTATTACTAAAATCTAAGATATATCCTCTACCTAATATACTCTCAAAATATTAACTGATTACGAATATCTTGACAAATTCAAACTAGGTTGCACTAAATTTTGATAGAAGTGGATTGAATTTTTTAAAAAAGTAAAAATTTTATATCGGTTTTATGAGTTGACATTTTTTTGTGGGGTTAACTTGATTAAAAATATTTTACCTGTAAAGTCGATTTTAGGGATGCATTCGGACTCGTGAAAATTTTAGTTATTAATTTAATATGTGGAGAAGTAAATTTTAAATGGATTTAATTAATAATAATAAAATAAAAAGGCAAAATTGGTTCCAAAACGACAAGAGGTTTAAGAAAGTTAGAGGCGTGAATGGGAAAGGTAGGGACAAGCAACACGCAAACCTTGCCGGTCGGAGTAATTAAAGTCCTTTTTATTTTGTGAGCCCTCTATTTTTTACAAATTCCACAATTTTCCATTTCCATTGCTATTATTACAAATATTCTACTTTTGGGGGGTCATAAGGAAATTAATTATTTATTTATTTTTCAAATGACCAATATTTATCGGCTTTACCCTATCATGAGTAGCACAATGATGTTCCGTGTGTTTTTCCTAGACAACCTTGATTATGTAACATGTTTTTTTTTTTTTTTTTTTTTTTTTTTTTTAACAAATTAATTTTTTTTGGTATATATTTATTTTTTTTAAATATAATATGAAAAATTAATACAACGATTATTTCTTCATTTTTAAGACAAAATTTTTAAATAATTAATAATTAATAATTTAATCTCAAATTTTTAATCGTAGCAGCGTGATATTATCCATTTTAAACATAAGTGGTAGTAATTTTGTTTTTAATGAAAATTATATTATTTATTTATAAATTCATGATTTTTTTTAGTTAGCTAACGTGAAATTACACCTTCTAATAATACTCAACGATGATATAACGACTAAAATAATTAAATAAGTAATTTATGAGTTGAGTTTTATTTTTATTTTTTATTCTCAGAAATAAAATTTAAATATTGGTGTCTAAATGTGTCCGTTTTAGAATTTTAAGGACCAAATAGAAATTAGAGTTAAATATGAAATACTCAAAAATGTCAATTTTAAAATATTACGGGTTAAATATAAAGTGATATTTGCGAATTAAAAACATGAAGAAAAAATAGGGTAAATAATTGCCATTAATCGTACTCCGGAGTTCAATCGAAGGTCCGAGGCGAAAACGAAACCCTAGAGGTGGCTTGTGACGAGAATCCGCAGGTGTTTTCTTTTAATCTTCAAATCTCTTCACTTGTTTATGTTTCTATTGTGATTTCGAAGCTTTGCGCCAAAATCTTTGGAGTCACCGATTAATTTGCAGAGACGGCGACGTCGGAGCATCATACACTGTAGAAACCATATTACGAGGCACACGAGAACACCAGAAAGTTGAAAGAAAGTAAAAGATAATGTGTCAATAGATACGATGGCGACTCTGGCAAGTCAACCAACGCACCATCAACCAACTTCGGTGGAGGAAGTTAGAACACTTTGGATAGGGGATTTGCAGTACTGGGTCGATGAGTCTTACCTTAGTTCTTGCTTCGCTCACACTGGCGAGGTTCGTTTGTTTTTTGTTTATTTTTTCCTTCAAAATTTTAGGCACTTTTTTGTTTAATGATGTTGCTTTTAATCGTAGACCCATTAGGACTTCAGTAGTTTCTCAATCTAGATGTGTGTATGGATTTTTGAGCTTTTGTTCGTTAATTCATAGCGTATACGCTTATTATCTAGGTCTGAAAGTAGGAAAAATGATTCAATCTGGTTGCCTCTTCGTAGCCATTGGATGTGGATTCAAAATTCCGCATGCCCCTAGTAACAACTAGATATATGTCTGAGATACTTTTGCGGTTCAAATTGTGTAAAGCTGCCCACGACATTTTGGCGGCCATCTCGAGTAAGCTCTCCTGAAATTGAGTTGTTTTCTTCTGGTCTTTGTAAGTGAATTTGCGTGATCAAATTAGAATGTGTTTGTATTTTGGTCTATTGCTACGAGAGCTGAGCTGTAGGGAAAGCCTCTCTTATGACCTTTCATGCCACTGAATGGGGATGAGTTTGATGTTTAATGTTAAAGAGAGCCGTGGTAGCGAAACGTCATTGTGTAAAATTATAGTTATCATCTAGTAGTTGTTATGTTTCAACGGCCAGTACAAATATACTTTTGATGCCTGGTAGTTGTTGTTTGTGTTATTGTATTTGAGTAAGAGCTTATAACTTTTAGCCGCTTGAGAAAAGAGAGTATTCTGTTATTTGTGAACTATTCTATTTTTTTTAATGCAGGTAATATCAATTAAAATCATTCGCAATAAGATCACAGGGCAGCCTGAGGGTTATGGGTTTGTGGAGTTTGTGTCTCATGCAGCAGCAGAAAGAATTCTGCAGACGTACAATGGGACTCAGATGCCTGGAACTGAGCAAACTTTCAGGTTGAATTGGGCCTCTTTTGGAATTGGAGAAAGGCGTCCTGACGCTGGCCCTGAGCACTCTATTTTCGTGGGGGATTTGGCTCCTGATGTTACAGACTATTTGTTGCAAGAGACCTTTAGAGCTCAATATCCATCTGTTAGGGGTGCTAAAGTTGTGACTGATCCAAACACAGGACGATCAAAGGGATATGGTTTTGTAAAATTTGCTGATGAAAATGAAAGGAATCGAGCTATGTCTGAAATGAATGGTGTTTATTGCTCAACTCGACCTATGCGTATTAG